AGCACCAGTACCTGACTTTAAACGAGGTTTCGGGCCTTTGTACAAGTTCCCTTTGTCATGGAGGAATTCACAATCCTTCCCGCGAGTGCATGAATCGTATGCGAAGTACATGCATGGCAGTTTTGCTTTCTGCTCCTTGGTGAGCGGTGGCTTGTCCTCCTTGTTCTTGCCTTTGCCATCTTTCGCTTTCCCTTTTCCTTTTTGGGCAAACGCTGCATCAACATTCTTGTCTTCCTCAACCTTCTTTGATGTTTTGGGCTTGTCCTCTTTCTTGACCTTTGTGTCTTGCTCTGGCTTCTTTTCTTTCTCTTTCTTTGTCTTCTCATCTTTCTTCTTCTTGTCTTTTGCCTCTGCTTGTGCCCCTCCAACCTTTGGATCTAAGCCTGCTGAGGTGAGAGCTTTGTCCATTGATGTTGTGTTCAAATCCATTTGGGATATCTCAATGGCTTCACACATCTTGCTATACAACCAACGGCTGGTTCGCTTGTAGCTACCAGTGTTTGCTTCCCGAAACTTGTCAATTGCGAGTGCCATTTTGGGGTGATTCTTGAGGCTTTCAAACAACAACGACCTCAGCGACGTTTCAGCTGGCATCTCACTAGGTTCAAGAGCGCCTACGCAAAAGTCATATCGCTGTCGAAAGTCTTCAAGTGCCTTGATGTCACTACCATTCATCTTCAAGGACAAAAGGTGGTGCTGACTAAGTGCCGTTCCGCGGTCGCGATCGAGTCGAAACTTTTGGAAGATCAACCACAACAACTTGCGACCTTTTGGTTGTTGATCATGTGTCTGACATCTCTCTTGGTGGGTCTGAAATTCCAAGGCGAATTTTGTGCCTTTTGCTGCTTCTAGCAATTTGGCGCCTAGGATCCGATCCAAGATGGGGAAGTCCTTTGCATTGTTGAACTCTTTTCCATCTTCCGAGATGTTGCAACGATTGATCCAACGGAACACAATGCTTTCATCATTCTTGGCAAACTTGCAAACCCCACTGAACACTGCGTTTCGGAAACTCCGGCATTTTGCTGCGTCTTGAGGCAAAGCAGGAATCTTTAGATAGTCATACTGTTTGATACGCATTAGTCGTTTCTCTCGTTTGTAGGGGTCCTCCGAATCGCTTGATGAGCCATCTCCACTTGGGGATTTTGGTGGTGAGTCTCCGCCCCCCTCCAGGATTTCTGTTTGAACCCTTTCCTTTCGAGTCACTTGAAGAGGATGAAGAACCACTTCCTGGCGGCGATCCGGGGACTTTGCGGCGGTCTCTTGATCGGTTCGATGATGGCTGATTGCCCGATTGCACAGGGTTTGCCGTCAACCCACCAATGAATTGCTGCATTTGAATGGTCAATTGATGCACTTGCATTTGCAAAGCAGTGTTTTGGTCACTTTGGATTTGAAGTCCGATCTGATCATTTAGCAAGGCAGCAGGAGGCAACATTGGATTTGCCTTTGGTATCTCTCCTGCACAAGCGGACTGAGTTGGTGAAGGTGCCAAATGCAGCTCTTCACCATTGGTTCCTGTGGCAATGGGCGTCAATGCAAACGAAGGCAACACGACCCGCGAATCTTGCATTGGTTGACCCTGGAATGCGACCGTGCCAGGATGGTAGGATTTGGGAGTTGCAATGCTATGCACCACCGGAACCAACTCACCCATTCCATGAACTTTCCTAGATGGACTTGGCTGACCAACACTTTCAGGTTTCCTATCAACGAATGAGGTTGCCTTTGGCGGCGGACTACAAGGATGGATGGTGCTTGGTGCCCCTGGAGTACCACTCTTTGCAAGGGACTGCAGCCTTTCATCTTGATCTTTGATCCTCCTCATCATTGCTTCCATTTGACCCCTCATTTCATTCATCTGCCTAGTGGTGGACTCTAGTGCTTTCTCCCTTTGGTTCAATGCACCGGTCACTTCAACCACCTGGTTCGTGCGATCAATCACTAAAGCCTTCAATTGCTCAATCTGGTTTTGGTAATTAGCAACCTCTTGATGAGACTGATTCATCAAACGGGTAGCTTGACCTTGGGTTTGACGGACCAGTTCATGGGCTTCTTCTTGAGACTGCTGAACCATGCTCCTGGCAGTGGATTCTACCGCCTGGATTTGAGACCTGGCTTGGTTTTCAATGGATTGAACTTGACTCTGGATTTGGGCTTGAGCATTAGATTCAATACCCTGGATCTGCTGAAGGGCTTGGTTCCTAAACTGACTCTCCATTGCTTGGACATACTGAGCAGTCTGGTTCCTCGCATTAGCTTCAACTTCAGAGGCGTATTGAATGGCTGGACCCTGCACTTCGGACACGACCTGGTGAGCCTGAGCTACTACCAGAGGGTTCAAATCCAAAAGATTGACTGATCTGGCATCTGTGAAATGAGACGACTGGTTGCTTTCGAACACAATCTGTCTTGCATCCATATGACCGATGGTCGTTGTTGGTATTCAACACCCGTCCTTGCTGTTGGGTTTCCTTGATTACTTTGAACCATCGATGAGTGAGATGTTTCTGTCAGGGATGACAAACTCGTATCTTGGATAGGAGTTGCAATGGCTTCCCCAAACATGACAATCTGTTCACTCTCCGGTGAACCATGCGCACTTCCTCCTGATCCCTCCATCGCTTCTTTTCAAAGATCAAACGACGTCTACTCGGCTGCAATGAAATTCTCAACTGCCTCCTTCGTCCAGCCGTCGCTCAACCAATTGGCGTATGGATACGCAGATCCGCTGTTCAAGCTCCTCTTCCGTGAAAGCTTAATGTGAATCCCTGTTGCCCTGTCGGTGGCCAAAGTGGCTTCCAACTCAGATAGGATATCAGCACTGTCGTCGATCAAACAACAAGACAAGTGATCCCCCAACCGTTCGGCAAATCTCGAGATAACTGCAGCCTTCCCTGTCGGACCGTCCGGCTCGAACGTACAAATGATCCCGTCAAACAAGTGATGAATCCCTTCGCTGTTGCTCCAAATGTCCTTGCACGCTTGATAGCGCCCCGAACTCCCAATGAAAGAAAGAACGAAAACAAATGGAATACGCTCGTGATCCAATGCAAACTGTCTGAACTTCTCAATCGCCTCAATGTTCTCAACTCCAATGCGACCTGTCTGTCTGCAAGTATCGCTATGATCCCTGTCAAGAACCTGATGGTGATCAACAAAAAGGACCTTAACCTGGCCAATGTCTGCAACTGCTCCCAAATGCACTTCCTGTGACTCCCAACGAGTATAGCGACCCTCCGCTGCCTCAAAGGTAAGGAAATGTACCGTGTCCGGCAGAACAATCGAGACTTGAACTGGCTCTGGCCTCCGCGGCGGTGCCTTTGCAAATGCCTTTGGCGTAAGGCCAATCACAGCAGGCGGTACCGGAACAGCGGGCTCAGGCCTAGGTGGCAGTGCCGAAGCAGCTAACCTATGCGCCTCCTCGAATCGAGCTCTGTACGTTTGAAGAACCTCCTCAACAATCGTCACCCGACTCTGTGCGCAAAAGTTAAAAGACGTAACACCGTTCAGCAAATGCGGATGTGTCAACGCAAAATGCCCCTCAGCCACGCCCTGGCGAATGAACGCCCTCTTCTGTGCTCGGCCGCTCTTTCCAGAGCGAGGGAACCTCAGAAGCTTGTGGAGCTCCTCGTACTCGGGATGCTCCGGATCGGAATAACCCCCTTCAGGCGGGGGCGGACCAGCGGGTTCAGTCGGACGACGTGAACCAGAGGAAGATGCGATGGCTGCAACGACGGCCAACAACCGATCGCAAAGCGATACGGCTGATAACCAAAAGAACACAGCAGCCGCCCCTTTTTCCCACAATCTTGAGCCAAACATGTCCGGTGAAGTGAAACGTCAATGACTGGATCATGTGATGGCTACATTCATTAAGATTCCTATGACTTGCATGTCAAGTGATACAACAGTGCTTGGTGACACATCGAATGCAAAGCTTGCCTGCAGAGATGCTCTTTGGTTGTTCATGGACTGCTTCAAGGACTGCTTCCCCTAGCGTGCCAGATGCATCGACCAGGGTGCTTTGCTAGTGGATTAGGGGTGGTGGTTTCACCCCATGTCTCTCTCCTGGATTTTGCACTATAAAACCATAAAACAGGTCAACCACCCTTTTTCATGGTCGAAGGGAAGGCTGGTCGCGGGCCGCGACCTATAGGGGGAGGTTGTTTGACCGGAGCTTTAGAAGTCCGGACCCACTATAGATGGAAGTGTTATATATATATATATATATCTGGACCCGACTGACTCGACGTACCCGACGTACTCAGCGAAAATAGGACATCACCCAAACCCCAAAAAACGGGTCCGACGCCATGCGCGCCATGGGCCATTCATGGAACGAAGGGGTCAACTCGTAGCAAGAAACACTCCTTCCCAAAGCGTCGCGTTAGATGGAAAAGAACAAAATCCCTGGGACCCCAAACCCTAACATGGTCGACCTTCGATCTTGCGCTTGCCGTCTTCTTCTCTCCTTGTCCTTTTTGAAAACCAAACTCCCCGATGGACCACACCCCCGGGGGCGGGATCCGATCCCTTCGGACCTCCATGGCAAATCCCGAACGCGACCGGGGTGGGCCACGACTGAATCGGGTCACGCGGCTGTGCGGCTTTTGGGGCCAAGTGGTTAGCTACGTTACAGTAGCTTCTTGTTACAAAGAAAAGCGATGCCCTCACCCAGTAGCTTCTATAGCTATTCTACTATAGCTATAGGTGAGCCATGCTGAAAACCTTGATAGATTCCTATGTCGTAAGAACTGCCTTACGCGAAAACTTACGCCGCGCTTACGCGACCGCAGTTTCAGCTTACGCCGGGGTGTTGCTTACGCCGCTGCTTACGCCACCTTACGCCATTGCAGGCTTTGCTTACGCAGCATCGATATGACATAACCTGGAAATGTCTGGCTTACGCCAAAGCTTACGCAGAGCTTACGCGACCACAGTTTTAGCTTACGCGGGGGGGAGGTTTTCAGCATGGCTCAGGTTGTGTCGCCGGTGAGTCACCACAGGGCCGCCCAGGTGCACATCTCAGACATGCCCAGCTCGACGAATTTCCTCAGGTCGTCCGGAGAGGGGTCACAATGCTCCTCAGGTTCAGTCACTGGACCCTCCTGGCACCCACCCCAGTGCCACCCGTTTTTGATGCGGTTGAGTTCCTTTTGACTCTTTTGATACGCGACACCTGCCGGGAGAACAAACCTCGAAATCTGGTCAATCTTTCATCGCAGCGGCATAGGATGATGTCAAGTATTCAGTCACACCTCGAGCTCTTAGCCCTTTCCTGTCCTTTCCTGGTCCGCCTCCTAAGAACCAATCCCGATTTGGGTGAGAACATGTGAGACATCTAGCCCGACCCCAAAGTATCTCGGGTCCAACATCACCCCATCACCCATATATACTGTAAGTATATAACTATATATACCCTAAAGGTCCAGTTCGACTATATTTTGACCCACTCTTCAGTAGAGGAAGCTCCTGAAATCAGGTCACCCAAAGACTATTCTTTTTATAGTCTCTGACTCCCAGGGTATAATATATATTATATAGACTGTTGATAGGTGGTGACCTGTAGAGTCGGGTCCTGGTATATCTAACCCTACCGTATAGTCCTACCTCACCGCCGCGATGCCGATGCGCGGTCCGCGCCCGCAGGCGGTGCGAGATCCGGATCTCGGTGACACGGTGAAAGCGCGGTCGGACGGAACGGACGGACGCCGGGGAAAGCCCGTGTTCTGCGTACGTGCGTACGGGTGAAAAACCCTAAGGATCCAGTGTTCTTCACCCACAAAAGCTAAGGCTTCTGAGGGCTATGACCCCCTGGTTTCACAGAGGATCACAAACCCTCTGTGCTTCGGGAGAAGGTCCGTTCGGATCCTGTGAGGAAAAGACGTTGAAAATCATATGGCCAAGCTGCTTCAAGACTTTGTCTCTCTTCAAATAGACTGGCGGAAAGCCAAAGGCCGCTCCCAAGCTTGCTCTGGATGCATCCTCCTTAGTCGGGACTTCTAGTCTGCTGCTCCACGCGTGGGAGGCTTGCCCATCCAATCAGGCAAACAGGAACTCAGTCAGTGTTCAATGATGTTCAGTGCTCTCGATGGTTCTACCAATTTGTATCTACCAGCACCCAACTCTAGAGGTCTCCTCACAGGTCTCCTTAAGGGTGGCTTTTGGAGACTTCAAAGTGGCAGGGGCGGTGGACCTTTTGGAGGGTGCCGGTATAGATGAATTAAATGAATGATCAAATGGTCTCTGTGCTGGGTGGTCCTGAATCTTTTCTGACAATGGACGACACTTAGACGCATAGATGGCCTTTTACCATTGAGTTGGTTGATAGAGGGGACACAGGGGGGCACCCCCAAGTGAACAACTGGTACCACCAAATCGACCCCACCCTTGTTCAAAGGACATCTGCGAGGAAGGCTTCAACCCTTGGCTTTCCGGGCCCCCTTCCACAACACAAATAGGGCCTTGCTCCGGATCGCGTTTGGGGTGGTCGGGCCCCGTTCGGAGCCACCAGGGAAAGAGGATCGACGCATGGGATCCATGCTGCGGAAGGTTCCTGGGCCAAACGCACTCAAGTACCAAGGGATCGACGGATCATGCGAAATCAACTTCGGCCACCAGAAACAACGCCCTTTCGATGGTGTCCGTTCGAAAGACTGGTCTTTGACAGATGCTGACCACTTCTCCGCCACACCGATCCACTCCACACCGCCACATGGGTCCAAACCTCTACCTGTGAGTCCCACACCGGTCCACAACACCGGTCCACGGCACCGCGTCCGAGACACCAAGTCTTGCGAAAGGTTGGGACGCTTCATGAGCGTTCGGTCGCTTGGGCTCTGGCAGTTGCCCTCCACTTCGCCCTGCATCGTTGGACGGACGGAGAGCGAAGGTGACACAGGTTTAGGCTGTTGAAGGTGCGACATGGGCTTCGGTAGATGAAGTGTAGCGAAAAAGTGGTGGGTAAGTAAGAAGCGGGTTCCTTCTATAGTTGCTCCTTGGTTGAGTTCCTAGGAACATCCAAATACGTCGGGAAATCGGAAACTCCACTTCGGCCCATACATGCTGATCAACAAAACAGAACTATAGCCAAGGGAACAATTTCATATACATCTTGCATTCTTAAACTTCACCGAGCTCTGCTGTCAGGTTGTAAGTGGTATGTTTATACACAGTGGTCCCAAAATGAGAAGGAACATTTGTCTATTTACGCCTTTGAGTTTAATCTGCCTGGACTTTTGCGGGTGCCAGAAACATGAAAAACACACACCAGCATTCAACAAAAACAACTATGCACTTGATCCTGTCAAACAAACCAAAACTAGGGTTCCATCTCTAGCCACCTGGCGTTAAAACACAAAAAAACGGTGCAAACAAAAAACAAAGAACATGCTCACGCGCTTGCACTTGCACTGCGCAGGCCTCCCCAGCACTCGCACCCTCCCCGGCAGGGGGGGCCGAGCTCTCGTCGCTCTCGTCGCTCTCCAATCCCACCGAGCTCTCGTCGCTCTCGTCGCTTTCCAACCCGATCGATTCGGAGCCTCGGTCGTCCCGGCAAAAGCATGCAGCCCAGACGTTACCCGTCCGGCCCTGGTCTTCCTGGGGTATGAGGGGTCGGACGGGGTTCTCACCCATTCCGATCGGCTTGGTTCGGGACCGTTGGGATCGGGATCGTATGATCCGATTCTATCACTTAACATCCCTCAACCATCATTAACCCTTGCGATTCGTTGAGAACGCATCAATGCGAACCACCCGTTGGTTCCAAAAAACCTCCGATTTTGGCAGATCGCGGAAGACATGGCGGGGAGGATTTTCCTTCATCGTGGAGGGTGACGGAAGTCACTGGGGTGAGCATGAGATGGTCACTTCGCTGTGTTCAACGAGGCGGAAGGACCGACCTAACGCTTGCGTAGTTCTACGACCTTCAGGGCGAGATGGGAGGGTTCCCTCTTAAAGGATTTAGTTAAATCCAAAAAAACCCTGAACCACTCAGTCGACCACTCGTTTTTGTCGGCCACTCCAACGACCACAAACACTCGCCGAAGCTTCAGGGTCGCAGGATTTGCTGCTTTGGGCTGCTTTGGGCGCCGGGGAAAACACGTTTTAAACAATTCGGCTCGAAGCTTCAGGTTGGGGGGGATCACTGTGTTTCTATCTCAAAGCAGTTTTTATTGTCAAACACTCGGACATTTTGATCTCAACAACCCAGAAGAACCGGACCAAAGCTTTCACCACCACCACCACCTATGAAAGTTAAAACTCTCGTGAACTGTTCGTGAAAAACGACCTGACTCGATGAACGCGATTGCTCGAACGCAAATGTTCGAATCGCCCTCCACCCCGCGGCCACGCGCTCTTTTCGCGTGAACCTTGAGCCACGTTGTTGTGGCGAGTTGTGGTCTTTGGTACACTTCTCGATTGGCGAACGAAGTGCACGATCGGCCAAAAGCGGATGTCCGTCGATCCGCGGCCATGCGAACATGCTCAAGTCCGAGTGAAGCCCCAGGATGGTTGCACTAAAGAGGGAGGACCATGGTGTCAAACCTTCACCCCCCCCCCGCAAACAAACTTTTGGGTGTTGGCCAATTTGAAAGGCATCCTGAACGAACTTGGAGTAGTACTATACCCTGGCTTAGTTCAAGCTTCCTCGGCTCATAGATGCCAAGCTGGAGCGATCGGAAGCACTCATGCGCTTCTGCTTCAAGCTTCTTTCAAACTCTTATGAACAGCTATAGTGCAAAAACTTCCAAGCTCAAGAAACGAACTTATGGCTTATGCACAAACCCTTGAGGTTATCACCAGTATTTATGGTCATCGGCTGTACTGAGCTATCTCAGAAAACATTGAAGCAATGGCGACATGGCTTCAATATCCGATCACAGCGCTGGATGCAGCGAACCTGGCCATCCTCTCCAATGTGATGGAGATGCGACGGATGCTCAAAACGGAATCCGACCTTATGGTCACCAACCCGGCCGGAAGACATGTCCTGCACATCCGAATCCCGCGCACAAGGCTATACCTCGTGTGATGCTTGAGGATGGTCCAATCCTCCCGATGGACCCGTTCTACCGACTTGATCGTGATCTTGTACTGGACCTCAGGGAAAACTTCAGCCTGATTCCGTCCTGGCGGAGAGAACGAAGGAGGATGCGGGCTCGCTGGAGAATGAGAAGGAGGCTGACGCGAATCTTCGGTAGCCACGGCTCGACCTCACTCGAAGTCGGCTCTGCCTTGATTTGCTCCCACTCTTCATCATCAAGGCCTGGGCTAAAACTGTTCATGCCCTCTGTAGTTCCCTTCTTCTCACTTGCTGTGGTCACAGACCCTGCCGTGCCTTCGATCACCTTCTTGGCATTCACTTCATTCAATGAATTGCCTTTCCCATCACCAATGGGAGATGCAGCCATGCTCGACGATGCAACGGAACTCAACTCTTGACCATAGCCAACGGACTTCTCCTTGGCCTGAACTTTCACGTGGACATCCAAGCCTTCCGGGGCATCCACTGTTACCACAATCTTCTTTGGTTCCATGGCAGCTATCGGAAAAAGAATCGAATTGTATCCAGTTCTGGAATTTAGAAAGTTCTGGTGCTTAAGCAGTTATTTCATTATCTAAGGCTATCGTGACAATCCATATCGAAAACATCGAACCCTGATGCAACAAATGGCACAGTCCATCAATGAAGTCAAGTGAAGTCACATCTATTGAATTCAGTTCTACTCATCCCTTCAAGTCTTCACTCAGGTTTTCCTGAAGCCGTTCTGAACTGGATTGGTGAAGTGAGGGTCCGTTCACGAAGTACGCGATAGGCCGACAGCGATTCGATCGAAATCACAGTTTTGCTTGCACCTGAATCCACCAACCACAGGTGTGGATCATGCATGTCTTGGCTTTGGCAAATGAAAAGCGGTTCACAAAAGTCAACCAAGACCGACAATCGTCCTCCGTCTTCGATGTCTGGCTCGGACCACTCACTACCGGCTTCGGATTCGGGTTGGAACGAAGAAAACTCAGTTACTCTCTTTCCTTTGGTTTGCCACCTTTCGAATCTCCTTTCTTGCCTTTCTCTCCTTTGCCTCCTTTCTCTGCGCCTTTGCTTCCTTTGGAACCCTTTCCTTAATTGTCTCCTTTGGCACGATGTGGACAATCAGACGAAAGGTGGCCTCGTTGATTGCATGTGAAGCAAGTTCGAGTCTCTTCGGATGTTCCTTTTCCTTTACCTCTAGGGTCAACACCTTTTCCTTCCTTTCCTTTGTCGTTGCCTCCCTTGGATCCTTTGCCCTTTCCATCGCCCTTCTTCCCTTTGTCCCCTTTTCCTAGTGTGTTCTGAAGTGCAGCAATTGGCTTACCTCCAACATCGGACCAAATGCGTTGTTGTGCTTCATATCGTAGGGCGCAATCAACATACGAGGCGAACGATTCATCCGGTGAATTCAACACAATCCACTGTCGACACGGCTGTGGAAGAGCTCTCAACAAAACTAGCACTTTGTCGGCTTCGACGAACTCTAGGCCTTTGATGTTGACACTCGGATCTACCAGCTGTGCGACACGTTCGTACTGGAACAATTCTGACTGGATCTTCCGGATGACTTCGGGAATTGTCGGTGCCGAAATGCTGCTGTTTGCCAATTGTGTACGAAAGAAAAGGAGCTCTGTTCTTCTTTTGACCGAGAATTCACGGGCGATCAGTCGAAGACATTTGAATCCACAACATCGGACAAAACCCTTTGACTCTTCATAATCACGAATCACTAGACTCGCTCTGGCATGGTTACTGAAGCAGGTTTTCAGTATGGATAACAATCGAACTGAACGAGTCACCTGACTAGGCGAAAGTCGATGCCACCCCAAAGGTTCAGTCTCCTTGATACACATCATGATCTCTGAGGGATACGTGTTTGAGCCTAGGCCTGTCCAACTGGCCAATGAAGTCAACCATGAAAGGAATCCAGTGATCTCCAATGGCCTCGTTTTCCATTCGTCGAAAGTCGGAAGTGGCATGTTCGGCATCCATCGTTCCGAACGCTTGAATGGATTGTCTTCCCCCGTTTCACGATGCGAACCGTGAGGTGTATCGATCTGGATAGGCGGCTGTCCGACCGATGCGGGATTCGATGGCATGCCTGGGAACAAACTTGTTTGACTCATTGGGATTTGGCTCAAACCACGCGGACATGATCCGGGAGGACATGGCATTTGGGTATACATACTAGGTTGCGCAGCCTCGAATGGATTCTGCAGACGGTCTGGACTCTGAGGCATGCTAGTTGGGAATGGTTGATCAGGAATCCCCATTTGCCTGCCATGGATCGGACGGCTGAGTTCCTGACACATCAACTCGATTCGGGTCTAACACATTTGGATGGTTGGTCTGACTGGGCAGTGGGTTCGATTCGCTTGCTTGCCCGGGCGTTTGATGAACAGAACCTGGGTTGAAAGGTGAAGGAGGAGCTAAGAGCTACAGCAGGTGGATCTGGCCTTTGAGGCATGTTCGAAGTCGACTGCTGAGCTTGTTGTGTATGAAGGACTTGCTGCAACACTGGACCTAAAGCCGAAAGAGTCTGAGTCAACTGCTCGACTTGGGTTTCCAGTCGTTGGAATCTATCAGATTGCCTTCCCTCATGCCCCAACCGAGATTCTGGAGCTTCTTCTCCTCGAGTCTGGGAGCGGTCTCTGGATCGTTCTCGGCGAGCTGATCGTTCAGTTCCAGATGCATCGGCCATCAAACTGGAAACTACGTGAAATGGTCCTAGATGCAAATGTTGTGAACTAGATCGGATGCCCTTTTCAGGGCTCCGCTACATATGAAAGTTAAAGCTCTCGTGAACTGTTCATGAAAAACGACCTGACTCGATGAACGCGATTGCTCGAACGCGAATGTTCGAATCGCCCTCCACCCCGCGGCCACGCGCTCTTTTCGCGTGAATCTTGAGCCACGTTGTTGTGGCGAGTTGTGGTCTTTGGTACACTTCTCGATCGTGCGAACGAAGTGCACGATCGGCCAAAAGCGGATGTCCGTCGATCCGCGGCCATGCGAACATGCTCAAGTCCGAGTGAAGCCCCTTCAAGGCCAAGCTTACTTAGAAACACGCGTTAAAGGATGGTTGCACTAAAGAGGGAGGACCATGGTGTCAAACCTTCACACCACCACCACCACCACCACCACCACCACCCCCGACGCCGACGCCGACGCCGACGCCGCCGCCGCCGCCGACGACGACGACACCCGAGCTTGCAAACTGTCTCTGGACGTTTTGGACTGAAGCCGGATGTTTCTTCCATCCAAGAGAGATGTGATGTGTTTGTTTCTTTTAAAATCCAGTTCGGTCTGGGGTCAGATCTTCATCGAAGAAAGAGACAAATGGCCCGGTCACCAGGTCGCCAGGTCACACTCCATGTTGATGTTCAATCTATGCCTATACATGAACCCTCCAAGGGTTGTCCAATGGACTACCCCACACTAGCTATAGGCTTCCAATGGGCACCCCTTATAAGAGGGTCCTGGTACATGAACCCCTTTTCAACCCGGTCACCACCCCCGCTATTTGGATTCCCTGTTTGGGCATTCTCGCCGTTGTCCGTCCGGATCCGGTCGCCCGGGGTCAGGCCCCGTCAAGCGTGGGGCCCTGAGATCAAAGGATTCCAAAGGATTCAAAAGAGAAAAAGGAAGGAGAAAGGTTCCCATTTGATAAGGGTTGACCAGGGGTGCCCTATTCCAAATAGGCTTGTGCTTCCCTGTCTTTTCTTCGGAGAAAAAGAACGGTGCGTGTTTTCCCCCGAAAGAACGCGTGTTTTCCCGAAAGGGTTTGCCAGCGCGCCACGAAGCGCCGCGGTCCGCCACGATGGTGTCCGGAGCTGCGAGGTGGTGAAAATCGGAAGTGCCAAGTCCATCCGGGTAGAGACGACCGGACTGTCATAGGACGGCCCAAAAACACGTAGGGGTGGTTGAAGTCGGGGTCAATTATATATGGCAGTCCCATGGATGTCGTGTCTGGGTCAGGGTAGACCATTTCCTTTAAACTGTTCAGACATACGTTGCTTCAGGATCATCCACCAGCTTGCCATACGTTCGGGGTCTCTTCAGCCCCTACAGTACTATCCGGTATCTCCTCTCCATTTCCACCTCTTTTCCAACCAGGTCCGGTCCAGTCACCGGGTACCTGAAGTCCAACAGCACCCAACGCTTCAGGCTGAGGTTCCGCCCTTTTCACCCCCAAGTATTGGAAGTTTGGAACCACCCCGATTCGACTGCGTTCTTAGGATCCGAATTCCCGCCCCGGTGAAGAGGTCCGACTGCACCCGGTCTGGCACCTGCATGTAACACTAGTGTATCCAAATGAGCTGAGAGGGTACGACTGGATCCCCAAAAAGGGAATCAGGTCCGCAAGATTTTACCAGATTCGTTACATGTGGGGTGTTGTGGGGTGTTCGTCTTTCAGCAGGCCGTGTTAGGTCCCCAAAGACATCTGCACTGTCTCCAGCAGGATTTATCTTCCTCTTCACCGAATGGTTTCAACATGTTTAACCCACGGTAACCGGCCAACTGACTGGTTTCACCGACCAACTTTAGGGGAGCCGACGATGGTTTCCATCCGAGAAACCCTCCGTAGCACCTTCCTCTGCCACAAGATCTGCCAGCACTTCCTTAGGTCGTGGTGCTACGGATGCCCCGAGTTTCGGGATGAGCTTGGGCAAAACACCTTCATCAAGGAGGAGCTTGGTAAAGACCTGGAATTTCTGAGGACCACCAGGTCCAGGACCTGCCTGGGAACCCAGTTCCAACTACAAGCAGTTCTGGTTGTGAAAAAGAGCTCCAACATGTCCCGATATGCAGGTCGTTACTCACGTTTACTCTCCAGCATCTTGGGCCTTCATCCAAAAAAAATGCGCTGGTTACACCCTGCTACCAGCAGTCACAAAGGGGTGCTTAATGGAGGTTTGGGGTGCCCATCTTCCACTCACTTAGGGACTAAAAACCACCCCTTTGTGACCCCTGGTATATAATTGCATCCAGCATCATCAACAGCTGAATCAATCTCCTCCATCTCCTCGTCTGTAAGAGTAAAATCTCCTCAGAGCGCGGCCAACTGCTCTCAGTCCGATGCCGGGTAAGTCCGGAGTCCTTCCGAAAAGCTGTGCACAAGCACCGAAAACACTCCAGAAAACACAGGTGCCCAAGTTGATAGACAAGCCGCGTCCAATCGCTCCCTTATTGAGGGTCCATTAGCGTTTGGGTTGATCTCCAAACATGTTCTGAAAACCGTTTGCCCAGATGCTCCGTTCACAGGCCTTTCCCGGTTCCGCTTCAGCTTGGCTTCGGGATTGATTCGTGTCGGTCCGGACGGTATGGCCCCAAGGTACGGGTCCAGGGTCACGTCGAATCGATTCTGCTTCAGAAGTCGGCCACCGGTCACCGATCTCTCTCCGTTCTCCCACCGAACCGGCCACCTGGCGCCACGACGAGTCCCTTCGGACGCCCAGAGTCCCTTCGGTTCTTTCACCTTCGCCGCGGTCACCTCTTTCCTCAGACGCGGAGGTCACCGACCGTCCCCCCCTTCGAGAAACCTCCGGTCGGGGCCCCTGCGGCCCGGTGGGGAACTCCCGCTCAGGCCGCAGCTGCCGCAGCTGCCGCGTCAAGTGACCACAATCCCCCGGTGCGAGAAGGTCGTTGTGTGACGAATGGGTGGGTGTCCTGACGAAGCCAAGTAAACACAAGAACCCAGAGCCAGAATGAGTTCAACCCTATAGCCTATGACAATCCTTGGGCTCTCCATGGCAGGAGTCGGACCCTCCATGGCTGTGGTCTGGGACCTCAAAACGTGTTTAAGGGCCCGGATTCTTTGGGGAATCATATCAAACTCAAGTGAAAACATCTCATCCCAAAGTGCTCCTTCGGAACCTGGCAGTTTTAACCTACAACTGCCACAACTGCCGGGCGCGCTCCCTCGTGGTCGGTCGCGTTCGTTTCGTCGGCCACGCGCCGACGAAGTAAAGCGACCAACAGCGGTTGGAAGCGACCCATCATGGAGGGCCCAGGCCGTCTGCACGAAGAACAACAAGCCCACAGTATGCACTTTTGATGTAGAAAGTGGGCCCAAAGTGCACCAAAAAGCGGTTTTTGTCCAAAGAGAACAAGACCTGCACTCCAAAGAGAACTTGCGGATGTCCGCTCCGCGCTCGGTTTTTCCGATTTTATGCTGCGTTCCCGGCGGACCCGGCCGACCGAGGAACTCGGGTTCCTACCCCCGCAAAAGCCCAGAAGCACGTTCCTCCTCTGCTCCTCTCCCCAGGAATCCAACATTGAAAAGAACGCCTACATGGAACATTTACATCGCCCGACCGGTGGCTTGATGGCCGTTTTTTTTCTTGAGGAGGGGTGGGATGATGTTCGGGGAACCCGTTTTGTGGGCCGACATCCATCTCTCAAATCGTGATATCTTCTTAGCACTTCCAATGGGTGCCCAATGGAGGCCTATAAGTAGGGTAGGGTTGTCCATTGGTGACCCCTTGGAAGCAGCTGGTTCTTGTTTACAGGTCCTGTTACAGGTCAGAACGGACACCAGTCCCAATGGATTCTATGGGCCTCACACCTCAAGCACATCACCACCCGGCACCCGGGATCATGTTGGCATGGCTGAGGGGCGTCCGAAGCTTGCAGCACCTGGGTGTGGATGGTTTTGGTTGGAAGAGATGACGCTCACATCGGGTGTCATCGCAACACATGAGGCAAAAGAGTTTTCTGTGGATGCGAATCTTCGTGAGGTTGCTCCCAACCACTGCAATTCTTGGTTGACAAGCTCTCAGGAAGATAGCTCACGAACTACCCTCCCAGCCACTATATAGGCTTAATTTCTTTTGGGGGGGGTCTTGACCCGGTTTCTTCCTCTCTTGAGACCCTCAACACGAAAAAAGAACCGGCTGGGGAGTTGTGTAGATTGTCTGGGGTCATGAGTCATGATCAACTGACTGTGAACTGATTGTCTGCGCAGGGTATGCTGACTGAGTGATTAAATGGGTCAACAAAAAGTGAGCAGAATAGAGTTCCAGGGGATGTCTAACTCTTAGTGTCATTTCAACCCTACACCTATATACACCTATACACCTATATATATCTGGCCCATCCCCAATCACTCTAAATTGGAAGGCCGGGGACGAAGAAAAGGCACCAAAAACGGCAATTCGGTGGGGTTTTGGACGCTCCGAAGCTGTCTTGGCTTTGACGTGCAGTGCTGTGTGAGCGCTCTCCCTGGTATGCCTGTCTCTTCGGTCGTTCCTCCCATTTTCTCAGTCCTTCTCAAACAAATGCCAGAAGAAAGTCTACCTGAACCATCCGCCAACGGCTTTTAAAAGGAACTCCATCCTAGCTAGCTGTCACGTGCTCCCATCCAAAACTAATTGCAATTGGATGTCCCTGACATCCCTCGTTCACACCACTGGACCGGGTGGCCAGCGGTTCCGGTGGCGAGGCGCTGGTCCAATGTCCAGTCTTTGCCCGGCTTGCAGCGCCGCGCGCAGTAGAGGGGCTGATGACACCGGGCCTGACATGCTGTGCGCGTTTTTTTTTTTTGCGCCACGTCGGGAAAGCGGCCAGTGGTGCCAAAGAGGTTTAAAAGAGGTGCACAAGAGGTGCAAAGGAGTTTGGTGGATCGTCATCCGAAAAAAAATGAGAGAACACCTCAAGTACTTGAAGCCATTCCCACATTGATCCGAAAAAGAAGGCGGGAAACTCGTCATTTCCGGAACCCCTATGATCCAAGAAGGAGTTTGTTTCGGTTTCGTTCTGCGTGAACGTTCGGTCGCTGGGAGTCACCGGTCGCTCGCAAGCAAAGAGCTCTGGAACAAGGTAACCCTGAAAGAACACATCTATAGCAGCACCTTCCGTCCCTTGGAGGGTTGGGAAAGGCCCTAACGCCCAGAGTTTCAATTGGTGACCTGTTGGCCAGGCAGACCAACCACTGGAAGGTTCGGACAGAAGACGTCTCCTCAGACGTCCACCGCGCGCACGCCCCGTGGCACCAAACGAACCCATGGGTGCCCTGTCGCCCGACAGGACCCAAAAAAACACAAGGGGGACCGGTTGTCAGTCAGACCGGTCAGATAGGACCGGACCTCAAGATCTGGTGTGAAACACATCAGACCAGATCAACCTCTTCGTGGCTGCCAGATCTGTTTCACCGGAGGCTGAAGCCCTGCGGCTCTGCGGTGGGGGATCGCTCCCACCGCTTGGGAAACACCCCCCCCCAGATCCGGTCGCCGAGGAGCTTGGGCGATGGTCGAAAACCGTCGAAAACCGTCCCAACAAACGGCAGAGCAGGTTGGGTGGTCATTTTGGACGTTTGGGTCACCATCCGCTTGGGTGTTTGGGGTTGTAGCTCAGATTCCTTGAGATCCTCAAAAGTCTACTGATCTTCTGCCCTTGATGTCATCCGTGTTGAAAATCAAGAAAGCTGGGGACCCCGCGCCATCGCCGCAAAGGATTTTGGCGAAGGGATCCCTTCCAATACCAATAACAGTGCAACCCTGCCCCCAACATGCTACACTGCTGCACCTACTCGCGCTACTACCCCGTATAAGCGGGTCACGTCAAATGTGCCTTCTTATAGTTCCAAAGGCATTCAGCATCACCTGCCGTGTGGCACTTCCCCCTCCATGAAAAGATCGTTGGCAAACAGGAATGTCTCGATTGGAATTCGGATGATCTCGGATTGGAGTCGTATACTGAGTACATGCCCAAAAACTAGACCCTGACAATGGTATCCTGGAAGATTGTTTTCCTCTACCAACCAGTGGTGTACTCAGGGTCCATGTTAGTTTTCGGGAGTGTATATTCGATGGTGGTTCCCTGGCAACTTTAAGGCAATGAAAGAGGTACCCACCATGATGTCACGATGGCAAACCAATCGCTGCCCTAAAGCCACCCTTCGGTATCTGTGAATCATAGATGAAGGTTCGGAAGTCACGCTGGAGGTTCCTTCGAAAAACACTTCTTCAGGTACCCATGTCAATGTGACAAACACCTAATCTTGATATCACGATATCCTCATACCTTGCCCCGAAGCTTCATGGTTCTTTTTCGTTCACTACTGGCCACTGAACAATAAGGAAAAATATAGACATCGATGAACCCAAAAACGTGCTGTTGGATCATCGGTGGACACAACGAAATTCACGCGCATATTTGGGATCATCGGCATGAAGCCTGAAGAGGCCATGATGGGGAGTTAGCAATACTGGAGGGCTCAAATGAGTCGTGATTCTCGTGAGTAGCTACAGCTACGAAATTTGGAGTGTCCGACGGTCCTTGTTTGAGTGGACTGACCTTGTTGTGCTACAATTAAATCTGAGTTGCTCACCAACACGGAGTGACAATCGTCGCCACGCCAAAAAGGGAAGCACCAACTCGATGAAAGAACAAACAGTGCAAGAGGCACGCCATCCCCCTGCCAAAAAAAAGGACTTCTTTCGGATTGGGAACACTTCCACATACTTTCACTATATAGTTCTTGACTCAAAAACAGTTCGCGCCAGGTGGCTGGTGGGCTGTTTCTGCGCGGATAAGCGACAGCTCTTATGCAGTGACCGATCTCCAAAGCGATACTTGTAGTCCTCAGAAGCGCTCCAAGAGGCGAAGAGGCCGTGATGAAGCACGACCAACGACGACCCTTCTGCGGCGGACGACAACAGCTGCGGGCGTTCTTTTTCTTTGAGATACACTGTTTTCAAGTTTTTGGTGTCAAGTGACCGTGACCATCTGTCAAGCACCGGTTTTCCTCCGCATCCATGATTCTTTCAAGGAGTGTATGGTTCAGCCGACAATGGCATGAACAAGTCAAAGATTGCGGAGGTGCACGCCCGTGCATCCCTCAAAAGTGTGGGGATGGTTTTTCGTCGTTTCCTGTTACACATACACACACTGCCTTGCACACACTGCGTCTTAGAGTTATGTGGCACTGTTTTACTCTTTCTTTTCACCCACTCCCCATTCGAGATGAGTTCCAAGAACGAAATATTCCTGGAAGAAGTGTCGACCGAGTCGACCGGTTCCACGTGTCATTTTGGACCCACGGAGATTTCCCACATGGAAAGCCCCTTGGATCACGTCTGAAGGCCAGCACCATGTCGGACAGCCCGGGCAGGACGTGGGGTGACGTGGGGGACTGCACGGTAGTTGAAGGTGAAGTAACATGCAGTTCAATCTGACAAGGCCTGAAAACTGGGGCAGTTCGGAACGTTCCGTGCATCCCATGCCATCGGAACGGAGCCCGTGTGGGAACCGACCCGGGTCTGGGGCTTGCGAACGACTGCTCCCGCTCCGCGGCGTCAGATCGGCACGACGACGACGGGGTGGTTCGATGGCAGCATGGCTGAAAAAAGAACACCAATATCACAATTAGATTGGTGAAATTGGGTGAAATGTGGTGTTGTGGGCCATTCTCAAGAATCATCCAATACATGGTGTCATATCCGTAAGATCAACAACCTGCATAAGCAGGGGTCCAGGTTCTTGGTATCAGAAGTGCCCCATGTTGGCTTCTATATCGCGGTTTGTGGCTAGGTGTTCGTTGGTGTTTGCAGCTCTTGGTTTCTGAACCAGCCACGTTTGGTTTCTGAATCAGGGAGTTTGGCATCTGAATCGCTCCTCTCCTTGCTCCTGAATTATGGAGTTTGGGTTCCTGACTCGCGCCATGTGGCTCCTGATAGTTGCTGACTTGGGCGAAGGTTGAATCGAGGCCTTATCCCTGAAACCTCAATGCAACGAGTTCTGATTGGCCGAAAGCCCTTTTGAACCTCCGATGAATTCATCGAAACACACCCCACCCCTCAGCTCGCGCGGCTCGAACATGGCAGCGATGGCTCGCGACACCACGGCGATGGCTCGCACGCGGCCGGAGGCTCGCCGCGCGCGCCCGCTCGTCTGGCAAGGCTCACAGCCGGGCTTTGGTTCGCAGCGGGCCTTTTTGAAGTTCCACCTCCGCCGGTGTTCGGTGCGTTCGAATCTCTTGACACACCCGAGGCAGACGGCCCCTGGGTGGTCGGTCCCCGAGGGAAAGAACCGAGTGGTTTCTAGCCGCCCGAGAATAGGACCTCCAGCTGGGAAGAATCCTCTAAATGACACAAATATAACTACTAGTAGCTTCTTGCTACTAGTAGTAATGCCCTTGTTACGTTCGTAGCGATGCCCTTGTTACTGATGAACTGAATTTTTTGTCGAGAAGTGAAATAGGTATGATGGGGCGATGGGGGATTTTCAGCGAAAAGGAGGTTCATTTGATGAGAGCCCTGACCTTGCGCTCCAAACAGCCCTTGGTCCCGCAAAACGGACCTAGGGATTGGTGAGAAACCCCAGACCCACTCCAGACGATTCGGGTCCGACCTGTCGGCTGATCAAACGAATGCCATGCTAGCCAAACTAGACGACAAGTGGCCCGAAAGCATTTTTCATCACGTAGGAAGTCAGAGTGTGAGTTATCTGTTAAGTGTTCAGTGGGAAGTGTTAAGTCGAGTGAGTTGAGGCAGTGTGTGGGTCTCTGTGTGTGTGTGTATCTATGTCTGTGTGTGTATGAGTCTCTGTCTGTGTGTGTGTCCGAGTAAGTTGAGGCAGTGCGTGGGTCTCTGTGTGTGATGTGTGTGTATGAGCCCCTGTCTGTTTGGGTCTCTGCTCCCCAGGTCCTCCGCATCTAAAGTTTTACTACGAAGTCGCCAGTTCTCATCTTCCAGCTCCCCAGCTACTCCGCGTACTACAATTGCACTACAAAGTCGCCAGTACTCCTCTTCCAGCTCCCCAGATACTTTAAAGCTGCACTACAAAGTCGCCAGGTCTCACCGTCCAGCTCCCCAGATACTCTGCGTACTAAAGTTCTACTACAAAGTCGCCAGTTCTCAGCTTCCAGCTCCACAGATTGCTCC